AGGGTGGGTCGGGGGATGGAGAGAGTCGGGCTACGAAGGGTGCAGCGGTTGGCGCGGCACATCGACACACGCAGACGCAGTTATCTGTTCCAATTAACCTCTTACATTTCGTTCCCTTCCACTAAATCCCTCTTCTTCTATTCCTCTGGCTGCCTCACCTCCGACGTCCTCTTTTCCAACCAACCCCACCCGCCACCTCTGTCTCACCATTCCACCCCCTAGCCGTGCTTCTCTACAGCGCTCTGTCGCCCCTCTCTTCTTTTCCACTCCCACCCCACCAACCACCGTGTTCTGTCCACGGTCTGGAACGGTGAAATTGAATCGACGCTCCGCATCCCGTGTCCCTCCGATGGGAAGACGGCGGGCCAAGTATCGTTTCAGTGGGATTTGAAAAAAAGAAACAGAAAAAAAAACGATATACCCGACGGCCACACCGCGCTTCCTCCAATATTTTCCACGGCGAACGCAACGAAGACAATGCACGGCGGAGGCGGGGGCCCCGTGGTTAAGCGGGATTGGTATTGGTGGGATCGATGGACGGTATCGGGAACGGTGAAACTGACGCAAATTAATTGGTTATGGAAATACGGTATAAGCTACGGAACGCGGAATATTAATAAGGAAAACTCGGTTCTTTTTTTTTTTTGTAATTATTTTTTTAGCTTCTCGAATCGATTGCAGGTGGAAACTGTGGATCGGTCGTCTGAAATGGTTAGCAGCCTCGTTGATCGTCGTATTTCATCTGGGGGGATGGGAGCATCCCCAGAATCTTTTTAATTTCAAGGATTTCCGTTCTAGATCGAAATGTAATTTCGCGGAAGGTACATTCACGTTTGAATGTGATTTGAGGCGGGGAATGACTACTTGAACACATACTGTGTTGTCAGTGAGTTTTGGATCTAGTTTACACGCCCGATGACACTGTATTTTATAATATATAGTTCTCAGGAATTTTAGAAAACGATCAGGCGTATATGTGAGAATATGTGTAACACAGCCAATTACTATCGTGAGTTCGCGTGTTACTGAAAAATTTGTCAGTGGGCACAGAAAGTTCGTGCAAATTCCCGTTTTGATTTATGAATTTAGAAAACCCGGAATAAACCCTCGACTGATGTATTATCTATATTATAGGGCGAAACATGATTTACGGAAATTTATGTATTTTCACCAAAGATAGGTCAGAACCTTCGAACTTTCAGTGATCCCTGTATCTTGGTTGTTTACCACGTCACGAAAGTTCAAAGTTTGTGGCGAGCACGAACCTTTTACGTTTTTCTCAGACATCCGTGTGCCTGCAGCACCGTGTCTCCTTTTCGCGCGCGTTTCGCAAACGCTGGCGTGTATTTATGCAGTCCCAAGCGTGAGTTGCAAATATGCGACGCATTAAGTAAGCCGATACAGTTTTACCATTGCATGCATGTAACGCACGTACCCTTGTAATACTGCAGCGTGTTCCGTGTGTAATTCTTATGCAAGATTGTCGTGCACGTCTCCGGGGAAAAAATTAGCGGCGGTCTCCACGGGCGAAATTAGGGGACAAAAGTGCTGCCGTAGGCTGGGGGGGGGAGGGGGATGAAATTAGACGACCGTTGGGACCTAGATTAGTAATGCATACGGAAAACAAAATTGAGTTTGCTCTTCGATTCTACTTAAACGAACCTTTGATAGTATAACTTTTTACTTAACAATTGTCTATGAATACACCACTTCATATCCTTTTTTGTAAAGCTGTTATCAAAGAAGGACAATGTATCGCTATAAAAGTTGTTAAAAACGTTCGGCTTTATTTTGGAAATACTTAGGAATTTTATGGACACTCTGTACAGAAGAACATTTTGAAGTTACTGTAATCTTGTCTCCAGCTATACAGTAAATTATCGATGAGTGTTCAAAGGTTCCTCGGCGTTGAGTGTTCAGACGTCACCCCCTCCACTAAGCGCTTGACTGTTCCACGGGGGATTTCCCAGTCGTGGGGATGATGTCTGAACACTGTGATTTCAAATAACAACTAGAAAACAGTAGGACCTATTTTCTATCCCTTTTTACAAGGGTAGAATCGAAAAAAATTGTAGTGTCCCATCCATTGACAACAAATTACGCCCCAGCATTCCGCAATGGAACAACACATCGTTCCTTAAGTCCCACAAAAGTCATGACGTATGCAAATCACAGAACTGCATAATATTTTGCCCTGCCACGTGCAAAGGCGAGCGCGCAGCACAGGCACAAAGTAATAACCGGGCGTCACGTCGCCGGATCAATATCGGGGAGAGCTGGAATAGAAAACAGAGAGACGACGGAGAGCGAAATGTGACGTCGGGGTGTAGGCCGGCGTCGGACAAGGAAGCGTAATCGAGGCGACGCCGGCCGCTTCATCGAATTTCAAGCGCGGGGAAGTTGCGGTCCGTCCGCCTCTGCCGCCAGACTCTTGACCGCGACACGGAACTTCGTCTGATCAATTTTGCATGCGAACCAGTTTTTCCGCGCTGGAACTAGTATGAGAATCACCGAAAACTTGGAAATTTCGAGCGTTGTACGCGCACGAGCCACGAAACGGGGTGGATAGAGGGTGGCAGGCGTTTTCATCGCGACAGTTTGCCGGCCTGGCTAGAGCGCGCGCGCTGCAAAATATCTGGGGAATTCGGAATTTTCATCTCAACCCCGACGTTTCCCGCAACTTGCGCGGAACTTTCGTTAGATCGAATTCTTCGCCGAGAGGTGGCGAACTTTTTCGAGCGCCGCGGGAGAAACGACGTCGCGAAAAATGCGAGAGCACGCTCTTGCTTTATTGAAACTTTGTTTCGGGGGATTTTATTGTACGGAGACGTGTACAGTTTATGGCGTGGTGGTGATTATTTCGGAAGGGGTCTAACGTTGGGTAATCTTTGAGGAAGTTAACGTTCAACCTTTCAGGTTTCTTTACTAGAACATAGCTAGGAGTGTACGAACAATATGATTATTTGAACAGCAGTGTAGTACTGAAGAAATGTGTCTTTAGATCGCAGTTGTTCAGTAGAAAATTGTTAATAATGAAAAATTTTCCGTTTGATATTCACATACACACACGGTCGTAATTTGTACCGTAGCTTTTTTTTTACATGCGAAAGGTCTACAGGTTCAGGAAGAAATGACCTTCACCTTTAGGGGGATGCTCGGAAAGATCATATTTATGTGAAAAAAGGGTGCGTGTAACAGTTTTCTCTTGAAGAATGTGTACAGCCTGAGAAAATAACCTTCGAATACGAGGGTTATAATGTGCGTATCGAAGATAGGGGCAGAAATTTATTTGCAAACAGCGCGTACATACATTTCGAAGATGTAGACGCGATGGGTGTGACGTACACGCCCTAAAAAAAGGTAGGATAGAATTGAGAAGTTATGGGGGAATGTAATCTAGAAAATCGGCATTTCCACGAGGTTC